AATCTACAACTACTTCATTAATTATAAAGGATTCTCCCCTTCTTGTTTTTAGGTTTTGTTGTAAAATAAAATAGTAAATCTGCTTCCTCTTAATTTAATTCATTGTTATAAAAAAAAAAGCTATAAAGCGCTACAGTAAATTAATAAATCACGCAGTGGAGGTCCCATCTAATACATTGAAGTTAACTCTAGTAAGCCAAAGTTATACTCACTATTATTTATAGATCCATTGTTTACTTTTCATTAATACTTATCCTAATCCACACGTAAAATTACTTAACATGTTCACAATGACTAAATCCTAGATGCACACATTATGGTTAAAATTTGAACGACATAGGATCATCTTTGATTTCTCAACTTTCGTTCTAATTAAAGAAAACAACTTCGCAAAGGTTAATCTTTGACATATCTGTGAATTTCACCTCCGACACTTACATATTAATTCTCCCGACTATTCTTACGGTAAAATTGTTTATATCTTCAAGAGCGAAAGGATTGCGGATGATGCGCAACGAAGGGGAGCGTGTATGTAAGAAGGGCTCGTTCCCAAATTAACCCCACAAAGAGAAAAGAAGAGGAGAAGGAGAGGTTGAGAGTACTTAAAGGCCGAACAAAAAAGTTGAATACTGGCTTTTTTAAATGCAACAATTTTAATACTTTAATAAACTCTTTGGAGGTTAAAATTACCGTAATTGTTGGTACCTTTAATGATTTTCGTTAAAAGGGTAACTATTTAGCTGATTAAAGTCAATATGTCGTTATTTTACTTCCCGACTTCCAGTTGTCCCATGGTAACCTAAAACCTTACTATCGAAAGTTGATAAGACAAAAACTTAAATGTTCCATCGCCAGTTCCCTTAAAGAACTATTAGGGCTTCGAAACCTAAGTAGATGATTGTCGCCTTCTTATTATTATTTTTTTTTTTTTAATGACATACTACAGTCGGTATACATAGCACATCTTTGCTGCTTAATCCTAATTCACCTCTTAAAATTTAAGAGAGGTAAAGAAGGATCCAGTCCCCCTCAGAGAGTCTTCATCAATGTTTGCGCACCCGCCATGGCAAGTTATAAGAAGAAAGAAGTACACAGCAACAACCAAACAAAAAAAAACCGAATTTATTATTAAGAATAATTAGAAACAATAAGTAAATAAGCAGTAAATAATAATAATAAAGAAATAATTTAAGCGATAATATATAAATATACTATAGTACGGTTTTTTTTTTCTTATATGTATTAATTGAATTATAATAATACTTGACTATTAAGTATATTGAAATAATAGTTTATATGTATCCTGACACTTTTATACATGGATTATTTATTATAAAGTAATAATAATAAAGTGTAAATTAAATTATATTATAAATGAGTAAACGAGAAATAATTAGGATCGTAAATCGTGGATCAAGGGAGCTTCTTAAGCTGGGTTAGATATTTCATACATGTTATACTGGTCTGGGTTACAACTAACAGCAATGACTAATAAACTATTGGTATGTTTACTGTATTCTTTATAGCGTTTGAAGACAATTTTTTAGAACAAAGTCTTGATTGTTTTCATTTGGCGATCGCGATGTAACTGAGCATTACATATGAATTACGGAGCATCAGTGATTATTATGAGGAGTTTGTTTTGAAAAATCTGCGGCCTATTTATATGACGCTCAGAGTAGAACCAACAAACGGGAGCATACACCATAATTAAGCGACTAATGGATTTATATAAACGCATCTTGTTTTTAAGGTGGAGAATAATGCGCCTACATATAATGGGTGTAGGAAATTCTTGGAAGCGTTCATTTTTCTCAGACCTACAACATGAGCGTTCCAAGTTAATTTATGATCTAATGCTAACTCCAAAGTACTTAAAACGAGAGCTCCCCGAAATGTAGAGTCTACCGTTTTTGAATATTAACTCTTCTTCTAGAAATTATCATTGCTGCACTCTTAGAGTCATTGATCGCTATCTTTCAATTAGTAAACCAGGTTTCCAGAGTGTACAAATAAATTTGTAAGAGTTTAATAGCTAATGTCGATTAAGAGCGGTATGTCGGCACTTATTGGGCTAGTGCTACGTTAGTTGATCTGGGGATGTCTGCCATATAAATCGCGGAAAAAAGCGGCGATAAAAGTGATCCTTGAGGGACTCCAAGGTTTATTTTCCCCTGATTGGAATTAACCGTTCCTATAAGGACTGTGAATTTTTTGTAACAGAAAATATTTTGTCATCGGGCTAAAGGCTTGGGAAAGTTAAACTTTGCTATCTTATAGGTAGTTCCTCTGCCAAATTTATCGAAGGCTTTAGTAATGCATTCTAAAAGTCTTAGAATCTGCTGAGATCTGGAGTGTTTTTCACGGAAAGCAAATTGAGACTGTGGAATGAAGTTCTTTTCTTTCGCAAAGTTTTTCATCTTGCAAGTATCACAGCCTCCGCTACTTTGCCAATGCAGGATAGTAAACATATGGGCCGATAGTCTGTAATAAAGTTCCTGATTATTTTTATTTGTAATAAAAACAACTCCTGCAAACTTCCAACGATTTGGAAAGTAGGGTATAGTTAACATCGAATTAAAAAGCTCTTTTACATAGGCAGTAGCCTTAGTAGTAAATGTTTAAGCATCAGGTTGGATATACCGTTCTGGTCCCAGAGCCTTTTTGGTCTTGAACGGATTGATTATATTAATAATTTCTTCGCAACAAGTAATATGAAGAATGTCTAAATCATGATTTTAGAGGTCGCCTCATATCAAGGACCCTCTTCTTGTTTCTTAGTGAAATTCACGAAAAAGAAGTACAAGCGATGAGCAAAAACGTTAGATTTACCGCTGGCAGTATGTGCTACGCCATTTTCATGATATATGGGTGGTATGCTTAATAAATTGCGGCAAGGATTGAGGGACCTCTCTAATTTCCATAACAAGTCTACAAGACTTGAACATTTTAGCTTTTGTTATCAAAGTTTGTTTTTAAGTTTTATCACTTCTTTCTTTATAAATTATTAACTTTATTGTAGGCTTTTTTGCCCCTAAAAAAGCCTGTCTATTTATCTTGATTAAAGGAAGCTCTCCTTTCAATTATCTGCATAGCGGAAGGCGTTAATAAGTTGAAGGATCTAGAAGACCTAGAAATGGAGGCGTAAAAGTAATCACTTCGGGCTGTTGAATCTAGAGATGATTAACCCCATCATCGGTACCCGGCTCAGATGGCGGAAAAGTAATTTGTTGAGATTTTCGTCCAGTAATGCTTGAAAAATTGGTCAGTGAATTATTTTGATAGTATTTCGCCCTCTTAAAGAGGGCGTGCACTTTTTAACATGGTAGGATACCTAAAAGGAACCGTATGTGCGATTCTTAAAGTTCTTATGATCTACCTAGATAACGGAGAAAAGAAATCAAGAATTCTGTTTGTTCATATAGTTTCATGCTTAGGATATATAGGATTCCCCCTAGAAAGAGAAAAAAAACTAAAAGGAAAATACTAAATGATTACCTATTATGGCTCCTACTTTACTTTCTTCTCCTCTCCCCGCCACTTGTCCGGCATGTATTAGCTTGTTTATTAGTGTTACGGTTATCCAAGTAAATCGATATAGATAATATAAATTATATCTGAACTAATGGGCCATCCGTGATTCCGCTGTACTAATGTTACATAAATACTCAGCCTTGCATGGTTTGTTTTTTGAGGCAAGCGTATGACTACAAGCGGGATCAATAGGTTTCGGCTGTTGAAGCCTTTAAGAAAATTAGTTAAAGGAGAAGAAAAAGATTGAATTAAAAATTTATCAGCCAAATTCTCCTTTCCACCTTTCTCCCTTTCTTCTTACCTTTTTAGTTTAAAAACGAAGAAATCACCAAAATTGATTGTTGGTTTTTTTTTATTTCCTTATAAATATTCCTCACTTCATTTCGTATTCCATAAAACTAAGTTTTTTGTAATTTTAAGGGGAGAGCTAAAAACCAAGCTCTTATTAAACTTTTTTTTACTATTATTTTTATCTTTTAACTTATTTCTTTTTAATTTTATTGGCCTTTCCTTTTTTTACCCTTGACTATATTTTGGTTCCGCTATTAAACTTTTAGAGTAAATTTTAGTTTCTTTATTACGTATAGGTTAGAAATTAAGCTGTGACTTACGAAAAATTTGTAGGTAACTAATTTGTTATTCATCATCTCAGAACAATTTTTTTTTAAAGTGTTGCGTGGGAAAAACGTGTGTGTGTATAATGTTATAGCAATTATTCAACTTATATTTCAAAATATAACGTAAGGTAAATATTTAGTGTACTTATTACTAATTAAAAATATATTGGCTACAAAATTCGGTTTATTTCATTAAAAAACTATTTAATCCATCGCACAAAATTTATGAAAGGGAAGTGTTCTAAACTTTAGCAGAGCAACGCGGATTCTGTCCTTTTACATTCCCAACTAAAATTACATCTTTGCATGCTTTTATTTGTACTAATTTTAAAAAAGTTTTAGAAAATCTTGCATTAAATAAATTATGCCTATTTGAGAATTTTCTAAAACGTTATAGGCGGTGCTGCTCAGCAAAAATAGAAGTGTTCTATATTTCTGTCTTTTCAAGCCCTCAAATAGAAAACCAACGTTGCAACTTTAAAAAGGTGAATAATAAACTTTTGCAACAAACCTTCTATGGTTATTACGAAAACTTTCTTACAATATTTTAAATACTTCATTGAGTATACTTTCGTACTACACCTTTTAAGTTATATTTTAAACAACTTCCTAAGTTTTTTAAGCATAAAATAATAAAATTTTCAGTTTTTGTTTATAGTAGTAAAAATACACAACTTTTATAAATTAACTTAAAATTCGCATATCGTTCTTTAAGCGAAATGATATAATCAAGAAAGTCTACTTAAACCTTTCGATATATTCTCCTAAAAAAAAATGGATTTGGCAATATGTATTTTCTTTTATAATTTTGATATAACAATGACTTTCTCCGCCCAAAAATATGTTAGCCTGAAATTTATTTTATAAAATTATCTTTTCTTCTAATCCACAAGTTTTTTAGACTTGAAGAACTTTCTCAAGTAGAATACCTATTAAAAAATTAAAAAGTTAGAAACATTAGTTGTGTGAAATGTACAAAACTGTTTAAAAAATAGATGTTTAGTAGCACAAGAGTATTTTAATTCTTAACTTTTATTTAAAAATCAAAGAGAAAGTAAAAATAATAAAGTATAATTATTAACTAAAGTAAGTATTTGGCTTTTAAATTTCATAGAGAAGTAGTTTTTCATATTAAAATTTGGATTTTTTTTACAGTGCAAGTATACAAATAGAGTAAGTAAATTATAATTATAGGATTACGTCAACAAATTAGCTCTTATAAAAAAATTTATTATATTTTGCAAAATTTCTAAGAAAAATATAAATCGGCTTATTCCTGTTAATATAACTGCAGTCACGAATAGGACAGTTCAACAATTCTCACTACCACCCTTTCCAATAATTTTTAATTATAAGACGATTTATTCTTTGTTTTACTAAAGACTAAAATATTATTATCAATTTATTTAATAATTTAATAATTTCTATTTTTATAAATAGTTTTTATTAAGTTTTCATTATTTTAAAAATATTTTTTTATTGTAAAGTTGATTAAAATAACTTTACTACTTTAGTTTTAATTAAAAGTGTTAATTACCTTCATTATTATTATAATTATTGTTTTTACTAAAAATATTTATTTTATTTCTTTTTAAAAAAAGTTTTTCAATTATTATTACAAATAAAATATGATTTCTTTATTATAATAGTTTTTTATATAAGTTTTAATTAAGATTATCTATTATTCTTCTCTACTATTATCTTTTGAGCAAATCCGGTGGTTAAAATATCTCCTTTATAAACTCACTAATTATATATAATTAAGAAGCGATGATTTTGGTAGCTTTTAACACGCGCATAGCAAGGATAGAAAGTAACCTTTTTTTTATTAGTGAAAAGTTTGTGTTTGTTATTGGGCGTAAAAAATTCATATTAAAGATAAAACGAATTTTATTGACTAAATACTTAACAGTGTGATCGCTGTTAATCGAAAGCAAGTAAAAAATTTATTACTATAATAAAAGAGTGTTCTACTGGTATACTGACTGGATTGTTTAATAGCAAAAATAATATTAACATAGATATTTATAAAGTATGTTATCGGTTAAACCTGACCAGCGGCTGAAGCGATTAAACAAACCATCGAGATGAGATTCAAATTCAACAATTTTGAGTTAATCGACTCTTATATATAAGAAATTACATATTTTATTAAAAGAAGCATAAAATATTTTTTTTAAACGTTGTTATCCTAAACCACTAGGTGGCGTAGTTTTTATAATTCAACTATAGTACCTATTTTTAAAAAAAAGAAGGCATAAGTAGAATCCTTATGGGATTACTTTGCGCTACACTCAAAAGATGTTAATCTTTTAAGCAAGTATGTTATCCTATAATTTTAAACGCTGCTTGCGCGCACGCGCATTTTCCGTAATGTATTATTAGAGTCGATTTAGTTAAAACGCACATGGCTGAAAAATAAAAATAACTTAATATAGATATCTACATTATAAAATGTTTTTATTATAGAAAAAAGTTAATAAATATTTATAATACTTATATTTTTTATATTATTTTCTTCATGTTATTATAAATATAATAAATAATACATTTATATTTCGTTCATATAACTTTAAGTTTTCTAGTAAATTTTATATATCGTTTAAAAATTGAATACTTTTTTTCCGATATAATATTTTTTATTTCTCTAATAAATTATTTAATAATCCCTTTAAAATACTATTTGCAATGATATTATTATGATAAGCAGTTCAATATATATATAAACATTTTAGTTTACTTTGAAAATACTAATTAACACAAAATTTTGTATATTAATAAATAAAAAATAAACTTACCAAATATAAAACATATAAATAACTAAAAAAGCTTAAAAGTTTATAAAGAAAAAATTAAAGCAATAAAATTTTTTAGTATAATAAAATTTTAGCCAGTCGTTACGCTGCTTCCTTCTATTTAAATAAACTATAAATTTTTGCACCAATAACAACCTACAAAACTTTTACTGGTTTTTATAAATATTTTTCATTCCTTAATTTTTTTCCTTAAAGTAGTTTAAAAATTTGTAAATATAAATATTACTGATATATAAATAAGTACACTTAAAAACACCTCTTCCTTTCCTTTTTTATTAATAAAAATAAGTATTTTCAAGTTATTAATTATTGAAATAAACTACCAGAAACTTTTTTTATACTTTCTTCTCGTCTTCTCATCTCCGTTATGTCGTACGCAATTCTATTGTTATTAATAAGTATGTTTTAGTATAAATTAAAACTTTTATTTTTTTATAATATTATAAATATTGTTCAAGAGATTACATTATAAATATAAATTAATAAATAATAATACATTAACATTAATATATAATATAATTACTTTCTTTTATTATATACTAATTACTTGTGTAATCGTTTAATAAAATAACAGAAAATTTTTATTTTATTTTATATCATATAAAATTTTTATAAAAATTGTACAGTGAATAATAAGATCAATAACATAACAGTTAGAAAATATTTTTACTCTCTTTCATTATAAATTATTTATAAAAATGTTTAAAAACATTATTTTGAAAGAATATTTTTTTATTTCATATTATAATATTATATTATAAACCGTTTAATGAGTATTAATATAAAAACAATAATAAAAATATTCCAGCGACTATGGTCATTAGTTCTGCACAAACCTCAAACCTTAAAACCCACACGGGATTTAAATGCTTCTTTGAAACTATTAAAAATCGTTGAGTTTTGAAATTGCTCCTAATTATATTCTAATTGATTACTCCTACAAAGCCCGTGCCCGATAAAAATGACAAAAAAGTTATTTTTTTAATAAAGAATCAATAATAAAATATATTTGAAGTGGGCAAGTTGTATTGGCCAGATAAATTTGACCACTCATAAACAATATCCATAAAGCGCGTCCAATAAAATTTATAATATAAAAATTAATATAAATTAGCCAATCAAATGTTATAATAAAACCATGAGAATAACTAGGCCTTCCAAAAAAATTCTGAAGAGTGAGAGTTAAAGTTTCATTTAAAATAATAATATTAAAACTATAACGAAGATAAAAAAAATTATAAATCTTTATTTAAGTTCACGTGGAAATGCATATATATATATACAAATAAAACTAAATAATATTTTTATATAAATACTTAAAATACTATAAATTACAAATAAAAAATGCCAAATTGATAAAAAAATTATTATTTTTCATAATAGTTATATAGAAAATAAATATTCATCACTTCGTTTACTTATTTTTTATATATATATATTATTTAAAACTTTTATAAAACATTTATTATTTAGTTATATAAATATTAAAGAAATCATTTATAATTAAATACAATTAAGATTTATATATTTTTATACATATTAACAATAAAACAGTTAAGTAAAAATATATACTTTTTCTTTAAAAAAATATAATTTTTAATTTTATTATTATATTAAGAACATAATAATTTTTGTTTATTTTGGTTATAAAAGTAAAATATTCATTTTATTTCTATAAAAGTTTTTAAAAAGATAATTTATTAAAAATGTATATAAACTATTTTTGATTTAAAAGAGAAACGTATTATCCTACTATTATTACCCTCAAATATTTATTATTACTTTTTTAATTATTTATATTACTTTTTTTAAAAAAATTTTAGGAAACAATATTCGTATTATTTTTATTATGTTATTGTCTATATAAATACAAAAATATTGATAAAATTTAAATTGTACTTTAATATATTATTTAAGTTATTATTTACTTATATTGTAAAAATGGTTAATATAATTATATTCTTAAAAGTTTCATATAAAAAGGAAATAAAGAATGTCTTTTATCACTAACAGTAATAATAAAATATAAATAAAAAAGCTACTCAGCTCCGAGTTCTTCGTATTCTCCTAAAAGTAATTCAAGTGATTTTTGGTTTTTCTTAAAAGTAAATAGAAAACAAAAGAGAATTTGTTAAAAAATTTAAAAACAGAAAAACTTCCAGAACATATAAAAAGTTTCAATAAAATCTTTTAAATGATAAAGTACCCAAAAAAGTAATAAGTACAGAAATATTAAAATTATTTAGAATATGGCAGTTTACTATAACAGTTAAATAAAAACAGCATAAAAGGATATAAAATTATACTACTATTAACAGATAACTTTTTTATATAAATTTCAATCAATAAAATTTCCAAAAAAATATAAAAAGCTGAAAACATCCAAATTCTTATATATTTAGCAGTTTGCTATAATGAAAGCACCCAAAAAAATTAAAAAAGTCATTTACCCTAAGTAAAAATATATATTGAAAGCAAAGTTACCAACATTACCATAAATAATATTAATCGGGAAAAATAATATAATCTAATACAATATAACTCAGAAAAGCATCCAGGTTGTAAAAAAAACCGCAAATTATTAGAAATTTACTATATATAATTAAAAATTACCAAAAAAAGACTTCAAAAAGAAAATTTAACCAAAATATTATACTTTTAAAGATTACCGTAAAGATTAAATTAAAAATTAATATATTGAAAGCATAAATAATTATAAGTTCTTAATAAATCTGCTAAATTTAATAAAAATTAAATAAGTTTTTATTGAAGACTTTAATTAAAACGAAAATCTGCAAAAATTACATTAATATTCGATTCTTTTAAAACCATTAAAAATCGAAATAAAGCACTGAAACTTCAAAAGTTTTACTCAAACTTTAACAAAATAAAATTTAAGCTAAACTTAAAAAAAAAGTTTACTATATTTACCAACGCTAACAGTGTATAGTAAAATTAGCATCAAGAAAAAAAAAATTATAAAAACACTTAAATTTCTTGGCCCACCGGAAAAAAAAAAAATTTTAAATATTTATAAAAAAAGTAAACAGTGATTTATGGTTTATAATGAAATGTAACTGATCACTTACTATAAATACAATATCTAATAAAAGTAAAGTTCGCGATGCAAAAAATAAATTTCCCAGAAAAAATTAAAATTTTGAAATTAAAAGCAAGTATAATTCAGTTATGCAAGTAAGCAAAAACCATAAAAACCATGAAAACGGTAAGAAGGGTTAAAGATCAAAATTAAATATATAGTAAGATATTTTTATTTATATATTAAAAAATATTGCTTGCTAAGAAATTATAATAGAAGTGCTTCAAGTAAAAAAAAAAAATTAAAATTAAAATCTAATAAGTTTCTATTAATCATATGAAAAGGACCCGATTACAACAATTAGTAACCACGTATTTATATAGGCCCCGTCTATAACTTTTAAAGGTGCTACAATTGCAGTAGAAATAAAATCATTTTAAAATGTAAAATATTATATTGCGTCAATAATACTATTATTACCAAATTAATATTACCAAATTAATAAAATCCAGGTAATATTTTTTTGCAGCGAAAGAGAATTGAATTATACTTTTAATAAAATATTTTTTTTATTAAATTATTAATAAAGTAAAAATAGTGATTACGGATAGCATCTTTAATTACGCGGAAATGATTCTAAAAAAATTTAAAATATATAATAAATGCTGCAAGATATTAATATAACCTTCAAAGAAATTTCAATTAATTACTAAATAAAAATTTACACTATGACGTTTAAAAAAAAGAAACGACTTTAACTTGTTAATTTATTAAAATATTGAAGAGCAAAAAAGTGTTTTCATAAAAATTAATTAAACTTTTTTTTATTAATAAAAAAAATAAGCAGCAGTGTCGCTGCAAGCAAACCAAGTTATTGTAATAAATAGAAAAAAATTACATTCTTAACCACGTGCGCACATTTTAAACATTATTTTTTTAATTAGCGAAATGAGAATTTATAAAGGCACTCATTACGAATTTAATTTTTTTTTAGTATTTAATTAAGAATTAATATGTAATAAAACAAGTTGCAGTTAAAAATTTTATACGATTTGATTTAAAAAATGAATCAAAACGAATACTAAAAGTATACAAATTTAGATTCTGCTTGTAAGCAAGAGCGCGTTTAAGTTGAATTAATAAAAAAGTTAAAATTATTAAGATAATTAATATATTTTATAAACTCATAAACACACTGAATCTAATCTTTCTTACTTAAATAATGAAGAACTGAAAAGATGCAAAAGAATTGGAAATTTTAATTAATTAATTTTTTGGAAAATTTTTTTTTTTTAAAATTAAAATTTTATTCATTTATAAAAAATGCGCTAGTAATAATAAATTAGTTCAGTGTTACTACAATCGAATATAATACTTCAGAATATTATAAAAAATAGTATAAAGAAATAAGTTTAGTTTTTAAAAAAGTAATAAATATAAATTAATGTACGTTACAAACAAGATAAAAAAAAATTTAAGTTGTTATAAACCATTTGCTTATCTAATTGGCTTAAGAGCTTACGTTTGACTTTTACCTCCAGTGAAACTCTCTGATCTTTGAGAGGAGAACCTTTAAAATAAAATAATATTAAAATCAGTAGCATAAAGTTTATATATAAAAAAAATTTTGTTTTCGTAATATTATAATTTTAAAAAAAAGATTGTTTATAACGCTCAAGTGTAAAATTACTATAAAAAATGGAAAAAAGGAATATAATTTCTTTTATGTAGATAATTAATTAATAATTACTTTTATAAAAACTTTTTAAAACTACTAATTATTTTGAAAAAGTTACCCTTTCCTAATATACTTGTAAAGCATAAAGCGTACTGGCCCTTTTCATTAGCCAGGAAATCAAGCTTACCAGATTCAAAGTTTTCATGATTGTGCACAATTTTGTCCCATTTGTTAATAATCTGTCGAAACATAAAAATAATAAATGAATTTACTTCAATAAAGGCGTATTAAAGTATATTAATAACCTGAAAATTTACGTTTTGCCCATAAACCGTTTTAACTGTATAAGTGCCTTGAGCACGATCACCTTCGAGTAAATCCAAACTTAAACAAACTTTTGATCCTGCGTTCAGGTCAAAGCTTAAACTATACACACATGCATTACGAAAGAAACTAAGAAGGACAAGACATAACCAAAACTCCGTCATCAACGTACCTAGCTGAGCTAAAAGAAAAAGAGGGGAAACCTTTCAAAAGAAGTCATTTTAACTGTTGATTTGCCCTCATTAAAAAAATTGATTAAAAATTCTTTTAACTATTAAATATCTCGAGTTAACGCGCAATTTCTTAAGATATTTGTTCCAACTTTTTTTAGCTTTGCCTTGTTCTCTTTATAAAAAAGTAATTAATTAGTTAGAGCTCATTATTTTTTAATGATATTTATATATAAACTTAAATAATAAATTACACTTCAGTTAACTTCCAATGTCAGATGTGAAAGAGTTTAAGAAATATTTTATAAAGTGTAATATTATTTGAAAAACAATATTAGTTTTTACTCTATACTTTTAAAGAACACTCCATGAAAAATAAAAATCAAACTGTAATAATAAAACCGTTTCTTTAGAGTTGTACCTTTTTATCGCTTGTGATCTAAAAACAAAAAAACTAAGAGAGCAAGGAAGCTAAAAAGAAGTTTAAATAGAAAATTATAATTTTTGAGATTTTTCTAATTTATTTAAATATTAATCTTATCGCAAAGTTTCTTCCTTTCATTTCCTTCTTTTATGTTTTACCATTTTTTACGAATAGGCAAATTAGCATAATTTGCAATCTACCCGAGACTACTTCTTAGCCAAAAATCGCGATTTTTTTTAATATATCTATGATATTTTACACTATGTAAGTGGCTTAAAGTTTTTTTTCAAATGTAATGCCATTACCCTATGCTTTTCTGACAAGTAGTTTCTTTATAAAAATTTTATTTTAAATTAAAATAAATTTAAATTTTTTATTCTACAGGGTATACACACCATACAAGCGCTATCCTTAGTATACAGGCAAATATAGATGACTTGCTTTAAATTAACTAACTAGAAAATTTTTATAGAGCTAAGTTTCAAGATGAAGGAAAAATAAATTTAAAATCGATTCCTCATTTCCTAAAATGCATGCTTACAAGCAAATTTGCTTACACAAAAATTAGTATAGAAGATTATAGCCTCAATTATTTGACGTAATAATAGTAGGTTAAAAAGCAAAATATAATTTATTTTCACAATCGCAAGAGATTTGCGAGCTTAACCAAACAAAACTTTGACAACTTCAAGCGGATTCATTCCAGAAAGTAACGAAAGTTGCCGATAAATAAATTCAGGTGCTGTAGTTATTATTATTATAACTTTATAAATCATTATATTATTAATTTCCAATAATAAACAATATATAATACGGAAAGTTATAGCGCGGCGGTGGTGATAATAATTAAGCAAAAGAAGTAATTCTTCTTTTGTATAATTTTTCACTTCAATTCCGAATTTATCAATATAATCAGCAACGACGAGCCCAACAGGAAAGTTTGTTGTGTGCCCCGAAGCGCTAGTAGCAGCCACTTTATAGATCTGGAGTTATTACCATTATTATTAGTACCGCTATTATTAGTAAACTTATACACTATATAAGGGCGAGTGTTCACTAAAGAAAAGTTTTTTTTTTAAAAAAAGTGAAGTGTACAACAGAAAAAAATTATAATATTAGAAATAAATATGAAATAATAATAATAACATTTAATATATGAATAGTTAATATATTACAAACAGCAAAACCAGTTTATATAAAAAAAATTATAATAAGTAAACAAAGTACACTCAGTAGAAAAATATTAATTATATTTATAATTATTGGTATAAATTATAAACATATAGAAAATCAATAATATAAATAATAATAAATTATGAAAAATTAAAAAAAGTTAATTATATATAATAAAAAGTATAAATAAATAAATATATATATATATCATAAATAAAAATACTATAATAAGTGTATCAGTAATATTGTAACAGTTATAAAGGTAATATAACTAGGTAATATAAAGTAATTAAATATATAACCAAAAATATAAATTTATTATAACGTAACAAAGAATAGTATATACACATATATATATAAATTACATATAATGATAAATATAAATATGATAGAAATAATAATAAAAGTAAAAAACAAATAATAATATATTAGCGATACAAATTAATGATGGAAATATCAAAAAATATAAAATAATATTATATATAATAGTAGATATATATTATAGAAAAAGTATAATAGTGATGATAGTCATTATTATGAATTAAAAAAACCTTTTGATTGGTGCTATGCCACATTTTACGTATGTTATGCACTAATGACAGTTGTCGTGCATGGATGGGATTGGAAAAAAAATCTATAATTAAGCACTTAGAAAATTTTCATGCATTGACAGAAAAAAAAAAGGTTTTAAATTTTCTTAACAAAATCATTCAAAAAATGACAGGCTATAGTTATTTAGAAATGTCTAATAATTTTCGAATCTTCATTGGACGTTCATAACCGCAAGAAAAAGTTAAAAATTATAGTGATAGCTTAAACAGTTATACAACATTTTAAGTCAATTTTAAAAAGTACCCTTTTTAAAGGATCACTTACTTAATTTCTTAATTCAATAACAAAGTCATTAATATTACACAAGTATTACAATATTAGTAATTATGTTTAAAGTGGCACGCACAAAAGAAATTTTTTTTTAGTGTATTAAAAAAATTATTTCTAGTTTACTTTTAATAGATTTTTATGATTTTTTATCTTTTACATAAACTGAAAAAACTTTTAAAAAATATATTTGTAGTCAAACTAAACTCTCTACTATAAAATTTGATTGCTTATTTAAAAAATATTCAACCTTTTATGCTCATAAGGTTATTGGGCAAATAAGAGTCAATGAAGTACACTATAATATTGAGGAAATGCTCTTATGAGCAAACTATGATAATTACTAATTTTTAATATAAATATGATTTTATATATAAAAAGACTACAAAATTGTTAATTAGTATAACTTTACAATGAGAATATGATTGGTTACTGTAAAAAAAATAATAATTACTACTGAATTTTTAATTTTTAATAAACAATTTTTATATATATATAAAAAAAGCACTGCAAAATTATTAGTATAACCTTACAGTAATAATATAATTGTTTACTATAAAAAAATTACAAAAATCGTTAAAAGCTAAAACACAAATTCTTCTTTATTTCAGTTAAAAACTTTAAGTTTAAATATAATAATAAAAAATATAAAGCAGTAAAGCAAAATGTGTAGTAGTAAAAAAATATCCTAATAATTAATATATAATAAATAATTATAATATTAATAATATAAAGTAAACCTTTTAGTGTAGTCATATTATATAAAGCATTAAATTCATCCACTAGAAAAATAACTTTTCTTTGGTAGTAGCAATATAGATGTTAAACAGGTAGCTTATATTTAAAGAGAAATTAATATATATAATACTTTTCCTCTTGCAAATGAATTTCTTTCAGGAAAATACCAAAAATATCAGAACTCTAAAGAAAAAAAATTAATAAATATATAATACTTAAATTCTCAACTTTCATTATTATAATTATAAATGTTTTTAAATTCTTTTTATATTTTTATTTAAACTTTCAAATTTTGTTTTATTATATAATTTTTTAATTATACTTCCTTTTATTATATTAATATTATAAAATATTTAAGTGCTAACTATAATAAGATATAAACTTTACTATATGTTTTTTATAAATAATAAAAGTTTTTTTATTATTACAGTAAATATATACTTTAATGTTTAATAAAAATTCATCTTATACAAATATTATAACATTATTATATTTCATTGTAAAAAAAAAATAAGCTTAAAACGATGTATATTAAAGTTCCTTATATGTATTTATAGTATTTGCTATACATTAAATATAAACTTTATCATTTATTATCCACAACTTTAACAAAAGTTATATAATTATTATTTATTACAAACTGTTTCTATTATTTACAATTTATACACAATATATATAGTTATTAGAAATATATGGACTAATTATTTATAACCATTTCTATTATAAGGTATAAAAATTTTATTATTAGCATTATTATTATAATAAATGTAATATTTAATATGTAATTATTATAATTATTTATTACATATAATTATTAAGTAATTAATTAATATACATAAGTATCAGCTTAGATTAATTAAATTTTTTAACATTTTTGGTTTATAATTCTAAATGAACATAAAATTATTATTATTAATATAAAAAAACCAAAATCTCTTGTTCCAAGTTATTGAAATGAATTGGAAAACAGGCCTTTCATAAATAATAATAATAGTGTTAGTAAAAATAATAAGCTTATTATATAGATTTAAGAATAAAAAAAAAACTTTTTCAATAAGTTCTAATAAGGGTGTGCCTGAAGGATAAGTGTCTTCACGTACTTTATAAGAATCTATATAATAATAATAATAAAATAATAATAATTTTGATTATATAATAAAATACTTACAATAATAATTACAATAATATTATTATTACAAAACTTTAATAGTTAAATATATAAAAAAGGAACTTTTATTAAAATAATATAAACCACCAATTTATAATTTTGTCCCCAAAAATTAAAAAAAATACCAAAAAGAATTATTAAACAAAAGTTGATATATAAAATTAATTGACGCTAAATGGTTAATTCGATTAAAACTTTTAACATGAAATAATAAAACAAAGCTAATTGGTTCAAATTATTAGAGTCGCTAATCTTTTATTAATTACAGCCAATAAAAATCTCGTGTTTGGTGCTACAATATAAAAGTTTGTCATTAAAAAAAATTATTAGAAAGCTAACTATTGGATAAAAAAGTACCAATAATCTTTATATCCTTTATCTTTTCGTAATTCATAGCGTGAATAAAAGTTAAAAGTTCACAAGCATTGATGTTCTGATCAAAACGTCCTTATAAATATATATAAATATTTATCAGTTATATAAAAAGTAATATTATTATACTAAAGAAAAAAAAATTATATTAAGGTCAATAAAAATAATAAACAGAACATCCTTAAAAACAACCAAAAAATAAAAAAAAACAACAAAAATATTTCGGAAATTACAAAAACTTATTTTAGAAAATATTGCTTTGAAGATTAGGAATAAATTTTACTACAAAAAATTAAAAGTAATAATAAAGACAGTTAAATATATTAGAAATAATAGAATAAATTAAATTAAAACAGAAAATAATAAAAAAATTCTACATATAAAAAAAGTTTATATAACAACGAAAGAAAATAAAAATAATATTTTAACAAGCTATATAAAAAGAAATTAAAATAAAAATATTATTAAGTAAAAAGATTTATAAAATTGTATAAATATTAAAAATCAAAAAAAATAAAATTAATAACAAAAAAGTAATTTTTTAAACATAATAATATAATTAAAAAATTATATAAAAAGAAATAATAATAAATATATTATTAAAAATGTATAAATAGTTTATTAAATAAAAAAGGTAAAAAATAAAATTAATAAGCATAAAAAGTAACAATAAATTAAATTGTTTAAAGTAACAAAAAGTAAATAAATATAAGAGTCTTATCTCAATAAACTAAAAAGTTATATTAAAAAAATATATATAAAAGAGATAATTATAATAAATTAAAAAAGGAGACTTAAATAAAATATAAATAATAGTAAATTTCTATATACAATATTATGAATAGTATACATAAATAATATATATATGAAATGAATAATATATATTAACGGTATAATAGATAATAGTATATAAAAATAAAATCTGATAATATTAAAATAAGTAAAAAGAAAAAATATAAAAAATATATTATTCTCTAATTCGAGTACAACACCAACATAAAATAAACAACAAAAGTTGGCTAATAACAGTTTATGACATACACTATCCAGCCAAACGGCAAATATAAAAGGCGGGGCTGACAAGGAGCAGCGCCCAACCACAAAAATGAGATAAATCCTCCAGTGACCATAAAGATAATGCGCTCACCCAAATAAGCGCCCAAGAAACCGTAAAGGTTCTTTCTACCAAATTATTTTAAGGTGCACACTAAATCGGCACCATTTTAGCTCTTATTGACCAATTAGTAACCTTATACGGTTGACAATGTACACGTACAACTCACAAGCTGAGAAAAATAGAAAAAAATAGTGAAAAAGAAAACTAAAATTTAAAATGTATTATTACTTTTTTTTAAAACAAGCAAAACTTTTTACAAATAGAACATTTCTAATAAATTATTATATATAATAATATTAAAGTATACAAAAAAAATTAACTTTTTTTAATATATTATAATAGTATGATAATAATTAAGAAATAAAATAGAAGAACCGGGATGACAACTTTTTATAAAAATAAATAATAATATAACATAATAGTGATCATAATTATAGTAATAATAATAATTAATAAAGGTATAAAAGAAATCATCAGAACCAATTTTACTAAATATAAACTACAATAAAATTAAAAAGTAATCATAATAATAGTAATAATAATTAAATAAATGTATAAATGGAACATCGGAGCTAACTTTGACTAATAAAAGGATTGTATTAGTAAAAAAAATAATTGTAACGTAATAATAATAAGAAATTATACTCATATATAAGAATAAGTATTAACAGAATAATAAAAAATAATAATAATCTAAAATACAGCGTATTATTGCTATAGAGTTAAAATATAATAATATTACTTTAATAAAAAAAATGCTAAATTCATACAACGAAGTAAAATAAAAATTTTATAAAGTTATGAAAAGTGTTTATATTAAGATTCATAAAAAAAGCAAAAAGTAAAAATTTGTATTAAATTTAAATATATAATAAAAGAAGTATTTATAAAAATATATGGTTAATAATTAAGATTCACAACTAGATGCAAAAAATAGTAATTTAAATTTAGATTTAAAAATATATAATTAAAAATTTTTATAATTCATTATAAAGATTCAAATTTAGATGCAAAAAGTAAAAATTCAAACCCAAATTTGATTATATATATAAAAAATGTAATATATATAATTTATATTAAACATTTAAATTAAAAGCAAAAACAAAGAAGAAATTTGAATTAAATTTTAATTATATATAATAAAAGAATATTTTATAATAATAATAATTTATGACCAAGATTCGGGAATTAAATGCAAAAAGTAAAAATTGGCATCAAAAATTGTTTATATATGATAATAGATATGTTTATAAAATTGTATAATTTATAATTTAATGGCATAAAAATTTATATAAATATATAAAATAAATAGTTTTAAAAGATATAAATATTCTAAACTATAACTGAGTGGGAACAAAAATTACCACCAAAAACTTATCTGTTTTTAAATTTGTACAATAATTTTAAATTTAACTACAAAAATATTATTAATCGCAACAAAAATAAAGAAAAAAAAATAATTTATATATAAATTATTGATAAATTTAATAAATCAAAAAAATAAATTGAATAAACTTTAATTATTTCCAATTTATAAGTAATATATGCAAAATTAAAAATTTTACAAATCACTAAATATATATACAAAGATAAAAAAAATGACTGCAATATTAAATTAGTAAATTTGGTAAAAACTAAATTTGCTTTAGTTCTGAAGCAAATAAAATAGTTTACCGGTCATCCAAGTGGAAGGAGTAAGGGTTACCGTTTTTTCTTTAAGAGTAAGAAAAAGACCTCGAAGTAATAAGAAATAGGTAAAATTAAATTTTTGATTTCTAAAAAATTTAGAAGATGCAATAAAAATTACAAGATGGAATGTAAATGACTAGAAACTGGTCAGTAAAAGCGTTGGCCAAATGAAATAAAATGGCAGATTTTCCTATAAATAAAATTATATAATTAGTAAAGATTTAAATTTAATAAAATATTTGAATTAAATATTAATAAATAAATTCATTATATAATAGGAGATTTTGCTATAAATAAAATTAAATATGTTCGTAGCAGAATTAAATTTAAAGAATATAAATTATAAAATATATATCATAAAATTCATTATAAAATTGCAGATTTTCCTATAAACAAGATAAAAATAAGAATTTATTATTAATTTAAAATATAAATAGTAACAGTTTTGGATTTATATACAATTCCATTTTAAACATATTTATAGATAAATTCATTATATACAGTAAAATATCTTCTTGAAGGCTTTTCCTAGAATTATTAGAATTTTAAAAAAGGAATAAAATTAAAAAACTATTTATCAGTTAAAGTACTTTAAAGCAAAATATATTGTATTTATATCTATATATAAATCATATAGATTTTAGTTTAATTATTAAAATTTTAGAGAAAAAGTAAATAGATAAATTAAAAATATTACAAAAATTTGAAATAAAAATAACTTTGAATTAAAAGTAGTAAGAAAAAAACTAATAAAAACAGGTCGTAAAAATTAAAATATACTTAAAGAGCCATGAAATGTTCGTTTAAAACTTTAAATTTTTTTTATAATTGTAATAAAATAATATATATAAATATGCAATCTGTACACATATTTATTATAATTAATAATAATTTGAAAAAAAATATTTAAAACGGAAATTTTGATATAAAAATGTAATATAGATAATTTTTAATATTTTATACACTAAGTAATTTGAACAAAACAAATTGTATAACACCAAAAAGTTGCTCTATACATAAAAAAGAAGAATTCTGCAGCGCGTGTATATAAAAACCTATAAAGAAAATTTTTCATACAAATAAAAAATATACTCAAATATTATCAATTAATTAAATTGTTGATTAAAAAAATTAAGAATCTCGATATTAATTAATTTGATAAAAAAATATAAAAATTAAAGATAACAAAAAAATATAGATATATATTAGTAAATAAATTAAAATTCTCAAACCAAAAATAATTAAGTTTGTTAATAATTAATCTTTTTTTTTGTACGCACAACTCATAAAGAAGGCGTTATAGTAATTTCCAAGTAAATTTTTATAAATGATATTACGTTTAATAAAGTAACTATATATAAATTAAACCTTTATAATGAAAGCAGTTAATACAAAAAATAACGCGAAATTTATAATATAACGAAAATTTGTTTTTACTTTTTAAGAAAATAAAAAAATTACAAATCAACTTATTACACGAAAAAAGTTAAAAAAACAACTTTTTACTTATTGAAAAATATATTACTCTATATTTTATTTAAAAATTATCTTTTGCCGCAAGAAATATTTATTGGAGACGTACATACAGAAATTATGCAATTTATTGTATACATAAAAAAGTTTTGTGTTTTTGATTTGTAACTTTAAAAATAAAATAATCTAATTTTATTCTTAAAAAATTTATATGATTAAAAGAAGTATTACTTTTGAATTTTTAAATTTAAAAAAATTACCAACTCCTCTTTTGCCGTGAAGTAGATATTTTTTAGAAGCATTCTTTTCCTCTAAGATATTGTTCATAATTAACTTTGCTGGTTCTCTTATTAAAACTGATACTTCATCAGAAGAGTTAAACTTAAGAAATTAATAATTGTAATATAATTTTAAATATCAAATTTTACTAATAAAAATTTACATGTCTAGGAAGATTTTTGGGGATAAGTCTGTTACCCACAATAATTTTGGTTTTTGAATTAGAGGCAACGTACACTGAATTCGTTAAATTTTCGTAATCTACCTAACTTTAAATAAATGGAGACGAAACTTTATTTTTTTTTAAACTTTACTACCAAAATGCTATTGGGAAGCGAACCATTTAAGGACTCAGAGAGCTTCAGTTCAAATTTAAAAATTATAGTATTACAAAAAAATTAAGGATATAAATTAGAAACTTATACCTTTTTTTTGATCGTAAAATTATAACCTAAACACTTTAAGTTGTGATAAAAATAACTTTTAGTTTTCTTAGTAAAAAAATACATTTTCAAACTCTTTTGAATGCATTCAAGCGAACTAGACTATTTTTGCAAGCACATGAGACGAATACTTAGGAAATTTGTGTAAGTTTTTTAATTCGTATTATTCTTATAGCAACAAGTAAAATTTTATCAAAGTAAATATAAAGGAAAGTTTTTAGTTTTAGTTTATTAATTTTTAGAAAAAGTTTTAATGATAACCTTCTAATGTAGTGAAAGGTTAAACTAAATAATAAACTAACGAGTTTACAAAAACTGAAATTAGTGCTTTGGTAAGTAGTTTTTCGCATTGTTTACTTATGAAGCACAAATATTAATATGAAAGTCCTTAATTTTAACATGAGCACAAAAAAAACTACAATTATATCTATAACATCTTAATAACAAGTTTATTTAACTTTAAGTAGAAAAAAGGTAATAAGTATATTAAATTCAAAACAATGATAAAAAAATGAGTATTGCGTAGTTGTTTATATTCATATTATTTTATATCATTTTAAATATTAAAATTGATTTACATATCTTATATAAATCGATTTTAATTTTTTAAATTTTGGTGTATATTTTTTTCTTAACTACATAAAAATATTAATAAAGGATCGCCAAAAGTATGTCCCAATTCTACAAATATAAAGTTTGATATGATCACGTGGGACTAGTCCCTGCGCTGCTATATCTTTCGGTGCTCAGTAGAGAATTTTCATATGCGCGGCTTATGAAGTTCAGCAAAAAGTCAGTGCGATTACGTGATAAGAAAGTTAATTCTCCTTTTCAAGTTTGTAAAGCTTTTGTTAATGTGAAGGTGCTGCCGTACTACTTGGGAGATGTTCGTATGGGAGTAGTAAGAGAATTAAATAAGAAGTTAATGACCTATGAAGATGATTTAAACGGTATGGTAAGTTTTTTTTAAATTTTTTAAGTTTAACGTAAAAAATGTAATACAATTTTTTCAAAAGCATATAATCTAAATGTATATATAAAAACATATAAGGGGTAATACTTAGCTACTTTGGTCTCAAGTCCTTAACCCGCACTGGACGTTTGATTTCTGATCAACCTTATATATACCTTGAAGTATCCTTATCATTTTTATTATTTTCTCCTTCTGTTACTTCTTTTCTTGGTAATAATTATAAAATATTTATTACTTTGTTTCATCTAATTTGTAAATTAAATATTTTATTAGAGGGAAAAGTTACTATTATGAGCTCAGATCATATTAGTTTACTTGTCTATGGCATTTTTAATGCATATATTCCGAAGGAGTTAATCCCAAGTGACTTTACTTTTGAAGAATTACGAGGATGGTTTAGCGAAAATGATTCTATAAATGTGGGCGCACACCTTACTTTTCAAGTTGTCCGGTTAATTTTTTCTAAGGCAGTAAACTTCGTTAACTCGAATATTGTTCGTATTTGACAGGTTGGAAAGTGGTGGTGATATTTTGACAATAATAGGGAGTCTTATTATTAAAGAAAATACGAAAGATATTTTTAAAACCCAGGAAACGACTGCAGAACTGGGCGAACGTAAACGTGAAGCGTTAAAATCTACAAAAAGAAAAAAAAAAGAAAAAGAAAAAGAGAAACTTTTAGAAAAAAGTAAAAAAAGTAAAAAAAGTAGGAAAAAAAACTGAATTCCTAACAATATAAGTTTAGTTTTTTACAATATTCTGATTATGTTATTTATTAAAACTTTGATAGTTTGTATACCCCAATATAACTTTTTTGAGTGCGTGGCGTATTTAATTTTTTTCTACATTATATTTGTACGAAAACTACATTAAAATTAATACATCACTTTTGATTTCGTTAAAGATTAAAATATTTTTATAAGCTTATCAAAGAGTTAGTTCACTCGAAGAGGAACTTAGTAGCGAACAGTATTATAAATTTCGTAGTGAAAATAGAAGGCAAACTTTTTAAAATTTTAACAAGACGTTTCTTATACGGTAAAATAATACAAATTCTTTTTTATTTATAATCCAAATTAGTCCTTTTTGATCCGCTTTAAAATATTTTTTAAAATTATATCTATTGCGAAGCATTTCCGCCTTAACTACTTTTTCCATTTTATTTTAAGGAAGTCACTGAATTCAAGTTTTATATAGATATAATATTCTATCGTTCCTCGCAAACCTCTTTTTGCTTATAAACCGTTTATATTAAAAAATTTGTTCGTGGTTTTTTAAAAGTATGTATCGGCCTTTTAAGCGTTGTCGCATGATTTTCATAAAAAAGGAATTTTCATTGTTTGAAATTATTTATAATAAAATAGTTAACTATTGATAATAACTAGCGTTAATAACGATTTAAGAGTAAAGAATTTTGTAATAGTTCAAAATTAGATGCTAAGTGCTGTGTTTTGAAATACTAGTAATAATTTATACAGTATCAGCGTGTATTAAGTAAGCATTTTTAATGAGTTTTGAATACGACTTTCTATAAGTTTTTAAAGTTGGTATAAATTCATGTCGTGTTTTATTATACTATAAAAAAATTTATACGGTATCAGCATTTTTTGGTATAATATATTAACTGCATAAGCAGTTATATGTTTATTTGAGTACAACTTTTTAAGAGAGCAATCGCTGTGTTCAGACAAATAACGAAATTATTTTATACAGTTAGCATTTTAAATTGTTTTTTTTTCTTGGATAAGAAACGAAATTTTATTAGTAAAGGCAATTTTTTCTATAGTATTAATATAGTAATACCTTCACAACTTACGTAAGGTACTACAATTATATTAACTTCGTTTATAATTTTCAAGCTATATAAAATATAAAAAAGGTCTCGCTGACTAGCACTAGTTATTTAACAAAAATAGCTACCTCTCACACGTGTTTAGCAAAGCTAGCGCTAAAAATAGTTTTCATATATTTATAATTATTCCAAGTGAAGTATAAGAAAATTTCATTTAGTTTACTTTAATATCTTTTAGTTTGAACCAAATTTTGGAAGCAAAATTTTAAAAGCAAAACGTAAAAGTTATTATATTAAGAATAAAGCAATATATATAATAAAATATTGAAACTAAATAGTAGTAATTAGTATAATTTACAAACTATTCCACATTATTAGATAGAAATAATAACAAGTAAATTTAATTGGCTCCGTTGACTTTAACAATTTTCTTAGAAAAATATTTTTTATATTTAAGAATACTTTTGAAAGAGTCAATTGGCTAATAGTTTTTATTGTTAATTTAAATTTATTATTATTCATATAAACGTCTCGCTCTTCTCATATCAAGTGCTTGTGAAAAGGAAAGATTAGGATTCGGCCCTGATAAAATAAAAGTATTTATAGCTGATAGTATGGTTACTTTAAAAGTTTTTAATAATAACAAAAAGAGCAGATGTCTATTATTATACTTAATAATTAAAATTTTTTTGGATTAACTTTTCAACCACATTAAAACCATTATTATTAATGCAAAAGTTATTGATGATTACAGAGCAGTAAACTTTTATTTTACATATAAGAATATCATTATATTTCAAATTACGTTTCTTTGTATATATACAACTTAAAACCATTAGTTAATAATACTAAGTTCATAAACAATACAACTATTATACATATATAGTAGCTATACAGTGAATTTATTGCTAATATATTATGTAATTAATATATAATATTTTTAAATTTTACATATATTATAAATTATCTATTATTATTATTCTAATCTATAACCTAATATTATTAATAAAAAAAAATGAATCTTAATTATATATTGTACACGTAAACCTCAAATATAAAAATATTAAATTTTAGAAGAATATGAGTAAAATGATGAACGTTCACGTATAGTATTTATATAATAATTATTGAAATAATATTATATATAATGTTTTTATCATAACGATAACAGTATTTATATAATATAAGATACTAATTATAAACCTTTTCCTGGTGTTTTCGGTCTTTTAGGCAACACAATTGGAGTACGAAAAGAAGAACTTTGTGGTTGTGAGGTGCACTGCTGGGCCGACTTCTGATTATTAGCGATTGGTTGAAGGGGCGTTGTGCTTAACGGCTTAAAACCAATAAGATTCTAATATATAATAAAAGATATATAATTATATCTAATAATAATATTTTAATATAACAAAAATAATAATATCAAATAATGAACATAATTATTAATAATATTTAAATAACATGACATTTATAAAAATAATAATTAAGTTTATATAATTAAATGTCTTACAGCAAAAAAAATGTAAATTACTTACTTTATTATATTTTGAATTATAACAAATAATGTAGTTAAATATTTAAAAAGTAATAAATTGTACAGGTTTCCCGGGAGTTGTACTTTTTGTCGAAGCTGGTCTCTAAGCGTTTTAAATGAAACCAAAAATTATTTAAATAAAAAAACATAAAATTTATTTTGCTTTGCATTTCGTTAATACTTTCATTATTTTTAAAAAAAAAAAGTTTTATATATTTTAATAATTATTATTTAAGAAGAAAATTTTAAAGTATACCTGAAAATGATGGCGATGTAAATCGAGGGTTACTGGTAGATTTTCTTTAAAAGGGCTATTAAGAAGCCACTCTTTAGGAGGTTTTACTATAAGTGTAATTATAAAAGACAATTTTCTATTAATAAAAAGTTTTAATTATTATAATGAATTGAATTGTCTACCAACAACAAATATATACTTAGAAAACGTAAATTTATGGCAGCCGAACTATTTATAAAAGATTTAAAGCCGTGCATTTATAAAAAACTTTAAAAGCATTTTATTTAGTATATACAAAGAGTATAGGATAAAAAAATTCATAAAAAATTATAAATATATAAAAAAAGAAGGAAATCCGCTTTATTAAAAAAAGTCAAAATATAAAAAACTAACTAGTAAATACCCGTTCTCCCGCCAAAAGAAAAGGGTTGAGGAGGGATCGTGCCTTCTATAGATGATTGCAAAAGATCTGGAAGATATTGTTTCATAGGGCACTAAATTAAAATAACTTTGCATACGTATTTTTTTTACTTGTATTTCCTTTTAGTTGGCTTGATGGAGTAGAATTATACGACTTCAGGCTGCTGCACATGTTCTGAAATAATAATTATAAATATTAGGAAAAAAATTTAACGTTTTCACTATTATAAACTGTGCAAAAATATATTTTTTAAAAATTTATTAAAAATAAGGAAATAACATCAACGGCAAAGTTTAAAGAATAATACCAAAAAATATAGACAACTATTGTAATAATATAAGTTTTTATAAACTTAAACTATTGTTAGCAATAACAATTTTTTTATTATATTTACTTGAAGTTGTATAATCTTACGACTTTTTTCTTCGTTATTTTCAGAAGTCTCTCTATAACGTAATTCCCATTCTCTGTTTTCCTTTTGAAGGGCTAAAAAAGTATGTATAATAAAGAAAGTTCTTAAATCTATAAAAAAATGTTTAACGTTGTTGTTAAAGTATTTTGTAAATTTTTGTATACATAATTATTGTTTACTAACCATGTTAATGTAGTTTGTTTAACTAATAATAGTAACTATAATTTACTTATTAATAATGCTGCTAGATTTCTGATATTTATATAATTATTAGATATCTACTAATATCTTTATATTTATAAGTTTCTTTATAATAAGATAATTATAATTTATTTCGTTTTATTATTATATAAAATTATACCTAAATAATTTAGGTTAATATTTATATAATCTTTAAAAAAATTTTATTTGTTTTTGTCTTCAAATTATTTTAATGTAGTTTGTTAAAAATAATGAAAGATTTATTAAAAATTATATAGTTAAGTTAGATGCCTTTATAAGCAACTTTTAAATTTTATTAATTATAGAAACGCTGGTGAACAGAAGAAGAAATATTGATAAATTACTTTTGATTATACCTAGAAATAATAATCACGACTATTAACATTTTCGTATTTAAAAATTTTATATAATAGATTGTTTTAATTTAGAGTAATCATTAAAAAGTTGATTTCAATTATTATTCTTTCTTATAAATCTTAATATTATTTTTTATAAGAACTTTTATTAGTGACACTTTAAAATTGATATCAAATTATTTGCTGTTTTTATTATTAAAGTATACAGTTAAGTATCTCTAATAATATTAATATTTGAGTAACCTTTTTACTTAAATTGTCATAATTAAAATTATTTTTACAAAATTATACCAATCATTTTTAAAATTATAACAGTGTTTGTTTGTATATTATATCAAAGAGTTAATAGTGGTTTTCTTAATACAATTTTTGTTTAAGTAGACTTTTCATATAATTTGTTTGTAATTGAAATAATCGTTTTAAAATTATTTTTATTTATTAGTTAGTATAAAATACCGTTTCTTTGTACTATATAACGTCGGTTGAAATTTAACTTCCAGCAATAAAAAAAATGTTTAAAAAAATTCTAAATAATTTCTTTATAAAGTGTATCTATAATTTATTTTAATTTTTTTTATCCTTTGATAATCGATAAAGCTATTTTATTACTTATTTTTAACTTTGTTAGTTTTATGATAACCCTTTGAAAGTTTATCTTTCAACGTTTTACCGTGATAAATAAAGTTTAAATAAAGTTTAAAATAAATAAATAACTTTTTTTAATAGTGCTTATTAAAAATATTAAAAGTATAAAATTTTTTCCATTTCATATGATTCTAAATTTTCATAACTATTGTATTACTTATATAAAAAATCAATTTTTTTCGGTTTAAACAAAATTTATGATTTAATATTCTATTAAATCATAAATTTTATATAAAAAAATTATAAGCAAAAGTAGCATTAAGAAATTAAAAGTCATTAACAAAAAAAAGTTCTTTAAATAAATTATTTAATTAAATTAAAAAAAAATTTTTAGTTACATCTTTAAATCTAAATTATACATATCAATCGTAGTTTAACAGGTATTCAAATTTTTTGCAATGAATTATAATGCAACAATTAGAGTTTTATAATAAGAAAATTAAACGAAATTTGAATTAAAAAAAAGGATGTATTCAAGAGGTGTACTTTCAGTTTTAAGCTGAAGGCCTAAAAATATTTTTATTAATTAGAAAAAATTTAAAAATTATACAAATATATATTATATATTTTACTTTATAAGTAAAAAACTAAATTGTACGATCAGATTTTCTTTTATAAAATTTATAATTTAAATTTACGATTAATTTCGTTAACGGCGTTGGTATATGCCGTTTCGTATTCTTGCCGCATTTCATTAATCTTCTGCTTATATGAGGTTACCATAGCTTCCTGATATGCCCGATCTTGCAGAGTCTAAAATATTTATTACTGAAGATTAGCAGTAGTTACCAATTAACCGCACTAATAATTTTAAATTCTCTAAAGATATAAAATATGAAATAAAATATATAACTAATATTTAAAAAAATATCGGTTTTAATGTTATAAAATAAATTTACTTGGTAGTTCCAGAAAGACAGTGCTCTCCCGCATATGTCAATAACCACATCCGGCATTAATCCGGCTAATACCATCTTTGGAGTTATAAATTATTTTAAGGAAAAAAATTAAAAAGCTTAATTTTAATTGATTGTAAACGACTGCATATTAAACTTATAAATAAAAAGCTGATATAATAGTTTAAAGAAATATAAATATAATCTATTTAGAATTAGAATTTTTAATTTGTAAGCTTTTAGACTTTGTAGTCGTAAAAAATAAAAAAAAATTTAAATTGAGCACTAATTTTTAAAGTTATGAGATAATTGTTAGATAAATTAATTGTTTCTTAAATTTTTTTTAACAAGTTTAAACTACTTTTGATAATCAAATAGAGAAAATTTACAAGTGAACAACAAACTTTAGGTGATCTTAAGCTAATAGATTTTTCAATTTTTATTAAAAAAAGTATTTAAATTACTTTATAAAGCATAAAGAAATTAAATAAAACTCCATTTTTAAAAATATGGTAAGCTTTTCGGAATATCTTTATTACTTTTTATTTTTTTAAGTGCGGTCTTAGTCTTAACTCTTAAAGATTTTTTTTATAAATTACAAAAAGATACATATAAACTACATGTAAATTTTAAGTTACTATTACTGATTTATACTGTTCAGAAGGAGCTAAGTCAACGCGAACAATATCACAATTCCCACTTAAATTACAGTTACCTTATTTATAATAATTAATTTAACAATTTATTTTATTAGCGTTTTATATTTAACTTACAGGCAGGACAACTATAAGATTTGCCAAATTCGCGACTTCCATCTTCTTCACAGAATATATCTTTATTAAAACACTTTTATTTTATCGAAAATAACGGAATAACGTATTGAGTTATGTTGGCCTACGTTAGTTATATGTTATAAACTACTACAATATTTCTACTTTTATATAGTGATAATAAAAAAGGAGGAAATTATTTCTTAATAGTGTGGTTACTTAAAAACAAAAGAAACTTAAAACTTTTTTGTAATTAGCTTAATTAAAGTTTTCAATTAAGTAACTTTGTAATTATATGTCATAATAAGAGCAACTTACGGGAACACGACGTAACCTGAAGTATGGATTTTAGAATATAATTTTATATCAACTACTATTTAGTAAAAATTGGTTATATTTTTGTTACCCATGCAAATTCGATTAGTCGCTTCCTACATTTACTTAAATTACAATATAAAAAATTCTCCATCTTCACTTCAAAACTTCTTAAGAATAATGTCAATATAAAATTTATATAAACTGATAAATGGTATATACGACTACGTAACCTATTGATTATAAATAAAAGACAATCTAAAAGGCGCAAAAGTTTTAAATAAGCATTTCATTTTTCATGATATTTAGTGAAAGTAAATGCTCCCAAAAGGATGACCTAGAGTGCGCTGGAACAATATTTTGTATTTTATGGCTTTAAGTATACAATAAAGATTAACTCTGAGCCACTTTTGGTTTAGTAAAAGGTTTGTAGTATGTGTTATAGATCGGCGCTCTAATTACTATCTGTATTCTTTGTATTACAAGGTAATCAATATACTTTAATAATTTTTAGTGTACACTAGAACACAGCAAGCTTATTTTTAGTGCCTTCTTTATTTCCAGCAATATATTTTATTCTAAAACGATAAACGTCGCCAAATTTAGTTCCGCTACCTTGGAAAAAGTAATTGAATGGTGCTAGAAAAGTCTAAAGATAGTGGGACCTATTAACCTTCCTTTCTGCCGTTTTAGGGCTCCCGAGTAGCAAAAAGACAACCACTAAGATATTACACAAACACAACTACTGACAAATTTTTTGAAAGGGTTATTTTACTGTACGAACCTAATATTTTAGAATTAGTTACATTTCAAAGTTATAGAGCAATTCTATTTATCTGCCTTTTGTTTTTTATTTATTATCCAATTTTTACAATTTAAAAATACTTTTGTATATTTATTTTTGTCACTCCGCCATGCTGGAACTCAATTGACAAAAAAGAAAAAATAACTCGACCCAAAAACACAAACAGGATTTGTTTTATATATTAGTTAGAACTAAATTTTTAAACTATGCCAAGAGGATATTTATTGAGAACAAAAAAAATAATATTTAACAGAAATGAGTTTATTTTTGTTTTATGTGAAGTATTACTTTTTTTTAATGTATAGAAGTAATTACAATATAGGCTTGTCTAAAAAAATGATAAATATTATTAAAATAAAGAAAAATAAAAATTATAGTCATAAATTATATTTCCCTTGAAGATATAAGCACGTATTAAGTGAAGACTTGTAACACTTGATTAGATTTTATTTTTATAGTAATAATATTTTGAAACTTCTTAAATCTGTTATGCTTTTTTACAGGTATAAATAAACCAACCATAAAACTAATTTTAATAATTTTTATTAAAGTAAACATTTTATATTACTCTGTTTTACTTTTTTTAAAAAAAAACCTTAGTTTTTAAATACTTCGATTGTATTTTTCCTTTTAAAAAAAAATAAATTTAAAACAATTCCCTTCTCTCTATAAAAAAAATAAGAAAATACATCGAAACCTAATTTGAAGGTAAAAGATTTTCCAATTTATTTTAAAAAAAATTTTTTTTATTTCTTTTCACTAAATCCTCGCCCGTATGCGTAATCGTATGGAGGAGGATTATTATTGGTAGTCTGGTATCTCGGCAGATTTGGGATTGAGGGAGGAGGGGCGGGGAGACGGTGGTAAGTGGCCGGTCCAAAAGGCCGATGCTCGCCAAATGCCGGATGCGGAATATTACTGGCGGGATACTGAAACTTAAATAAATAAATAAAACTTAAAAATAAATAAAAATAAAATTATAATAAATTAATAAATCAAATTAAAAAAGAAAAAAGTATATTATAATTTTTTTTTTCTTATTTATAAAGAATTTATATCTTCACTATAATAAATGAAATTTAACAAATTAACAGAGAAATTTGGAGGATAACTGATCTTTACAATAAAAAAAATAAATTTATGAAATCAAATAATTTCGTAATATACATTTAATATAATAAAAATATTGTTTTTTTACAAACTTTCAATATTTATTGTAATTGTAACAAAAAATTATTTTTATTACAATTTTTAAATAAATATATCATATCAGATTTACAAAAGATTAAAAAAAATTATTTTACTCATTAAATTAGTAACAGAAAATTTATAATACTTTTTTTTACTTATTGTAATAAAAGTAAATTAATAAATAAAGAAAGAAAGTGATAATAAAAAATTCTTATTAACAATTACTATAAATATCTTATTTTTATAAGCAAATATAAATATGAAAGTTTTTTCTATAATATTGAAAAGTTCTTTAAGCTTATATTATAAATATTACATATCCAAAAATTATACAAATTATAAAAAAAAAAATTTTGATAAATTTGTAATAAAATTAGAATAAAAATTTAGTCATTCAAACATAACCAAAAAAGAAATTAAATCTTAAAAATTATAAAAAAATCAAACAAACTTTTAAATTTTGCATTATTCGAAAAGTTTCAAGAAATTATATTTTTTTAAAAAAAATTTAATAACTGAAAATGAAAATAAAGGGAAAAAAAATTATTTAATGCAACTTACTTGTAAAGAAAAATAAAAAAATTAATTTAAAAAAAAGAAATTAAAAATTAAATGTTAAAAATAACAAATTCAGCAATTACTTGTAAAGAAATATAGAAAAAAATAACAAAAGGTATAAATTTTCTATAAAAAATTAAAAAAAAAAAAAATTAATCAAATATAAATTTCCCTATAAAAAAAATTAAAATAAAAATTAATGCACTTTACTAATAAAAAAAATAATTAACGGTATAAAAAAAAGAAAAAATATTATTTAGGCAATGTACCTAAAAAGAATAGAATAATTAATAAATAAAATAAATTTTTAAAAAGTATATATAAACTTTATAAATTTTTATATTATTTTCTACTTTTTTTTTTTAAAACTTTGATAACTTATGAAGCAACAATTTTGGAATTATTAATAATTTATATATATAATATATATAAATTACATTTAATATTTTTCTTTGCTTTATTTTTTAAAACTCATTACTTTTTATACTTATTATTACATTAATAAGCGTTAAAAACTTAGTAATAAGTATTTTAATACTATGAAAAAAATAATAAATATTATTGAATACTACCATTTTTATTATTTTTTAAAGGAAACATTTTAAACTTATAAATACAATTATATACTTTTTATATTTTATTTTTATAAAAATATAATGTATTATTAATTACTTTTTTATAATTATTCCAACATTTATAACACAGTTTATAAAACAGTTATATACTTTTTTATTCCTTTTTAATTAATAGATGAAAAGTTATAAATTTGATGACATTTTTTTTTAATTTTCTTTACAGTTCAGACATTTACATACTATTTAAATATAGAAAACACTTTACTACTATATATATAATATTCAATTTATTATTCACAATGAAAAAAAAAGTTAAAGTTCTTATTACTTATAATACTTATTATCAATAAAATCAGTTTTTTTTTAAACTTTCAGTATAAAGAAGTCTAAAATGTAATGAATAATAATTCTTACCGCTGTTGGGTAATTCTGTCCAACATTTGGGGTAAACTTAGGGCGATGCTCATGCATATAAGATGGTTGCGCGTTATGGGTTTGGTTTTCTATAAAGCTAAAAAATATAAAGTAGATGATAATAAAAGTTTTATAAGAATACAAAATTATATAAATAAAATTTTATTTATAATATAAATTTTAAAACAAAAAATAAAAAAAAAAAGTATATTAATATATACGAAATTAACATAATAACTTCAAAACAATACAAATTAATAATTTTTTTTATTATGAAGGATTTGATAATTATAAAATTATAAACAGTTTATCAAAACAGAAAAAATAATAAAATATATAATAATAAAGTCATTATTAATCTAAAATATAAAATTTCTATTTAAAAAAAAGTAGAAATATATTATGATATTATCTTTTTATAAAATTATATTATAAAAGTGTATTATTATAATTATAAAATTTATAAGTTGATAAAAAGTTTATTATTAATATGAAAAAAGTACATAAAATTTTTATAAAAGGGAAAAAAAATTACTTTTGTTATATAATTTTTATTTGTTTATTATAATGATCTAAAAGTTAATAGTAAATTTTATTATTAATACCAATAAAATATATTAAAAAAAGAAAAACAATTTATAATATTAATTTTTTATATAAATGTATTTAAGAACTTTTTTATAATATGAAAATATCTAAAAGTTAACAAAAAAAGTTTATTAATAAAGCAATAATAAATTTAAAAAAAAAAATTTAAAAATATTTCAATATTTATATATTACGTATTATTTTGAAAACAGTTCTTATAATAATTATCAAAAAATTTTTTTTTTGAAACTAATAACAAAATATTTATAACAAGTAAAAAATCATTATTATTTATTTAGTATTTAATAAATATTAAACATTTTTTATAATACTTGTTAAAATGTTTCCAAAGGTTAACAGTAAACTTTATTTTTGATACTATTAATAAATATTTATATAAGTAAAAATCTTTCAATATTAATTATTTTATATAAATATATTTTGAAAAATTTTTTATAAACATTTTTTATAATATTATTAAAATGTCTAAAAGTTAACAAAAAGTTTAATATGGATATTTATAAAAAAATAATAATTTTGAAACGTCTATTTGTAGTGTTCGAGATCTTGAAAATATATTAAAAAAGCTTATTATATAAAGAAATAAATAGTTAATAATAATGATGAGTAGTAATACTGCAATAATATAATATATATTTAATCAATATAAATATTTTTATACAATAAAAAAATATTTAAGCTTTTTAATAATTTTATTTAATAAAAATTATAAAAAAAAGTTGTATAACCGAGAAAAGTCAGCCTGTTTGCCCAAAGCAAACTCCGAACATTTCGCACGAAAGCTTGTAAGCCGCTGAAAAAGTTCTTCATAAAACTAATAATAACAGAGCGTTTTATATATAAAAAATATTAAAAGAAATATATTAAAAAAAATATAATATAACTTTATTGCCACTCGCGATGTTAATATTCACTTTTTCGAATACGTTTTTGGCATTTTCTGTGTCAAATAATAATACCAATAGTAATGATGATAACAATAATAATAAAAATAAAGAAAAGTACAATGAAAAAAAGTATATCTGAAAAAAATTTATATTAGAGAGCTACATTAAAAAATTGGAAATAAAAATATTTTTTAAATAAATAACCCTAATAATAACTTTGCAGCATTTATAGTATTAATATATATAATAATAGCGAAAAAGTTCAACAAAGTATAGTAAATAAATGCATAATAGTAATATTTAATGATTATGCACATATGTTTAAGAAATAACCGAGATTGCGCATAATAATATCTTTCTTCGAGGGTTGTAAATTCGATTGGCTTGACATTTTCCATTTTTCCATTAAAAACTATAAGTTATCAAAATAATAAATAAAGAATTAATTATATTTCTCATTTTAAACATGTAACAAAAGCTTCAATTACTAAATATTATTAAGGAAATCAAGCAAGTAGGGGAAGAAAAGCTCCTCAAACACTAACAAAACATAAGAAACCAAAAATTTACTATTTTATCTAAAAAATACTTAAAAAAAGTACTTTAGTTTTATAATATATTTATAATATAAAATAAACAAATTATTATTTTTAATAAAAATTAATAATAATTTATTTCATATATATTAAATAAATGAAACTTTAAAATTTATTAAAAAATTTATAAAATATATAACGAAATACAATTTTTATATAAAGAGTCTACTTTTTTTTTAATTTTAGGATATTAATAATGATTTTATTATAAATTTAATCTAATTTTTTTCTATTAAGTTAAAAAAAAGTTTATAATATTAAAAAATAAATGATCGTAATAATTGAATAACCAAAGTAGTTCAGCTTTATTAAAATTTCTATAAATAAATTTATAACCAATTAAAATATAATTATAAAACTATTGATTTTTAATATAATAAAATAAAAAATATTTGTTAAGGAGCATTAAAAAATATAGTAAAATTATTATTAATAAATTTATATATCAAGTCATAATTGAACAACGAAAAAAGTTTTATTTTAAAAATTTTTGTATACAAATTCATAAATTATGTAAATTACGATTATAAAAATGATTATTTTTTATAAGATGGTAATATAAAGTTATTATTTTTTATTAATAACTATTTGATATGAAAACTTTAATTTTTTATAAATAAATTCAATATTTTTTAATAAATTTGAAGGTATTAAAATTAATTTATAAAAAATATTTCCTATGGAATAATAAATAACAAAAATACACCAAATTATAAATTATTAAAATATAAAAGGCCAAAAAAAATAATAAAATAAATGTTTAAACTATAATTATTATTTATATGTATAATTGTTATAAACAATAATGAAGAACATCACTATTTTATTAAAGGAATTAAATTTCTTTATATTATTATTAAAAATATATAAATTTCTATAAGTACAATAAAAAATCAATAAATATTAATTTTTACAACTATTATTGTTTCAAAGTAATAGAAAGTTGATTAAAAAATTTGGTAAGCAATAAAATTCTTTAAAATTCTAAAAAAAGGTTCGTTAATTTTTTTTTTGTTAAAAAAAAAAAAATAAAGCCAAAAAAATTATAAAAATTACTTTTATTTCACGAAGCAAATCTGATTGGCTTTTAACAATCTGCAAAACTTCTTCTTTAAAAGTTTCATAATAACTCATGTCCGCTGACATTTTTATTTTTTCACTTTCATCCAATGAAACGGAAGAAAGTTTATTTACTATTAAATAATAATTTTAATGAATATGATAAAATAATAATAATAATAGAAGTGCCTATATCGTCCTTTGCTCGATGCTCATTAAACTTTTTTTTAAGTTTTTCATTATTCTTTAGTTACAAATAAAGATATATTATAAAAATACTTAAAGATGCTAAAAATATTATAAATGTATAGAATATAAAAAAATTATATACATAAACAATTCAATAAAATAAAAGTGAAAAAGAAAAAGTACTTATATAAAACTTTTACAATTCTATTATACAAACAAACAATAGATGACAAATTAACCAGCAAGGGTTGAAATAATTAAAAACGTGTAAAATAAAAAAAACGTAAAAAGTACAGCGAGAGAATCGAGAAGTTTATTGTACAATTCTTTGATTCTTTCCGTATATACACCAGAACTAAAGCGAGGTGCCTCTCTTTCAGCGCTTAAAAGTTGTAAGATTTTCTAAAATAAAATAATAATAATGAATAACAATAGAAAGATAGTAGTTATAAGAATAATAATAGTAATAATGATAATAAACGGCATTACCTCTGGGTTGCTTAAAGTATTCAAATATTCATAAAACTTTTCACATTCTTGTTTCAACGAATCATCGGCTTTAGCTGCAAAGCTCAATTTTTCTGCATAGTTTTCTGCTTCTGCGCTATTAAAAAAAAAGTTGTCATATTTTTGCATATTTTTCATATTTCTATATACTTTATATTCAGAGTTTTATATTACTAAACCATTATTTTTATAGTGTTATTTTTTTTCATTGGATATAAACCTTTTATTTATATATTTCCTAATTAAATATTTATATACATATATTTTTTTAATACACCACATTTATAACATCTTTCTAATTACGTTTACTTTTATAATTATTAATTTATATAAAAAAAATTGTCATAAACATTTCAGTTTGAAAGAATTTATATCAATAAATATATAAAAAGTATATAAAATATTTTTTATATGAAAAATGTTTTGTTATAATTATTTTAATATATTTTATAAAAATTATAATAATTATTTATTGATTTACAGCTTAAAGTTTTTTTATATTTTATTATCCTAATTTACTATAAGTTTTAAATAATTACAAACTTTTATTTATTTGCTTTAAAGTTTTACAGTTTTTTTTTACTTTTATTACTAATATATACCTTTTATGCGCTTATATTGGTAACTAGCACTATTCGTAACAGAGCAAACTACTCTATACCATATAGCATTCACGAGAGACCCAGGAGCTCGATCATTTAATCGAGCGAAGTATCCAGTCACACGGGATACTTTTATTGTATCATTAACAAGATTTACGTTTTTTCACTTCCATTAGAAATATATAATTTTTTTTAAAAAAAATTCTGATAATGAGTACTTTTTTTTTTTAATTTTTCTTTAAAGTTCTACTTTTTTAACTTATTAATTTCATATTAATTTATTTATTAATTCATAAAAATTATAAAATTCTTTTTACTTTTATTATTATTATTGCTTTATTTTGTAAAGTTTGCAAAATAGTCACACCTTTCTTTCCAAATATTTTTTTTAAATAGTTTTTTTTATAAATTATATATTATTTCTATAACTTCAAAAAATTTTTTAAATATATATAATATAGACTTTGTTTTTTAATTCTATTAGTTTTATATTGTTTTTGTTTTATTTCACAAGTTATACACTAGTTATACACTTTTTAATGTTAATATTTATACCTATCTATAAAGCTCTATACATTACGTATATTTTATATATTTTTATAACAGAAATAACCCTTTTAATAGATGAAATAGTGGATTATATTAATTAAAAAAACATTTTTAGTTCAGCGTTGAATAAAAACAATAATACAGCAAATTTTGGCCCTCATGCACGGATAATGGCCATTGGCTGCCGTACTTCTGTCGCATTTCTTCATTTTTTCTGCGCGTCTCCGATAACAAGCTTTTGGCTTCTTCAAGAATACTGGAGCAGTTTTGATTCTTGCTTTTCAACGACTCCAGTACACTTATAAGCCCTGAAACAAAACGATTGGTCAGATTGATCTTGAATACCATACAATGAACTCAGAATGGCCAACAAAACGGTGATAAAGTTTGATAATTGCAATAAGAATAATGGAATGGCCAACAAGTTATATGTAGAAATATAAAAATAATATAGAAATTTAAATATTTAGAAATAAAATATAAATAATAATAATAATAAAAACATTAACTAATAATCTATAAAAAAAATAATAAAAAAATAAGTCTGAGTATTAATAATAAAATAATAAGATGAAGAAGTAAATATTTATAAATATTAATAGATAGTCTAAATAAAAGTAAATATAAAACTAAAAAACATTGATATTATATATATTATAAGTATAATAATGTATACTTAAAGTAATAATAATAAATAAAAATAAAATAAAAAAATTAATACATATTTATATAAAACAATATGTTTTTTTTAAAATAATAATGAATAAATAAAAAATAAAGAAAAAGTAAATATAAATAACAATACGAATAATTAAAGTAAGAAAGTAATAATAAATATTGAAAATAATTACGAATATTAATATATTAAGTGAAAAAATTATATAGCAAAAATAATGCTTTAAATTAGTAATAAAATAATAAATCATATAAAAGATAAATAAACAAATAATAAATACTAATAAGTTAAACAATACTTAACAAAAGAAATTACAATAGAAATAAAACTAATAGAAAAATACATAAAATAATAAATACTACTAAGTTAAAAAAAACTTAATAATTAAATAATAATATAATAATAATACAAATAATAATAAGTAATAATAACATGTTTTTAGAATGAAAATATAATATAATGATAAATACTTACAAAAAAAAAACAATCTATAAGAAAATATAATAATAATAAAACTTTAAGTAGGAATGATTATAAATAATAATAAATAATATATAATATAAACATAAATAATAATAGTAATAGTAGTACATAAATAATAATAGTAATAGTAGTACCAGAAGGGCCTCCAGCATCTTGAATTTGTTGGGAGAGCGTCAAAAATTCATTAGGAATCGTGACGGGATCTTTAGTAAAATCTAAAACTTCAGGCAAGGAAAGTTCACTAAAAGTTTCTATAAAGACAAGCTCATTAATTACAGTAAAATTTGTTAAAATTTTATAAAAAATTATTTTTTATAACCAAATATATGAATATAAAGTTTATTATTAACATTATATTGAAAGTAGATAATAATAAAAAGGAAACTTTTAATAATACACAAAATAGTCTAAAAAATACTTAAATATTTAGAAAATTAGATGGTTACAAAAAATAGTCCGAAATGATATAAATAAAGTAAAATATAATATAAATAAGTTATGGAAAGTTAATACTAATATATATTATAGTAAGATAAGAATATATAAAGTAAAATCTTTGTTCACGAAAAAAATTTTATAATAGAGGTTATTAATAATATCCCGAAAAAGTAAAATACATATATTAAGTTTTTATATAGTGATAATAAATGTTATAAATTTAATTTATTTGCAGAAAATATATATAGTAAATATTATATATATAATTTTTTTGCAAATATAATAAAAATTAATATAGTAAACATTAGTATTTAGTATAGTTGATTTAAGAATAATGCAAAATTAAATAAAAAATAAAAAAATATACATTTATATAGTAATAAATTCGTAGAAGAAATAATGAAAATGTACATAAAAAGTAAATAAAATAGTTTTGTTGTATTAAAAAATATATTTGTTAATTAAAATGTAATATATATATATATATATAAGCAGATTAAAATAGTAATAATATACATAATTAAATAAAGAAAAAAAGTAGACGTTCCGTAATAGTATTAAGTAAAAATATGTAAAGTTTAACAAAAAAATATTATATAAATAAAAAATAAAGTAAACAGAACATGTTAGAAAATTATATTATAAAACAAAAATATTAGATTAAGTACAAAAAAATATAAAAAGGAAGTTTATAATAATAGTAATTATTAAATACAAAAAGAAATTTATATTATTGGAGTAACGAAAAAATATATATAAGTTTATAAATAATAATAATAATAATAAACTATTGCAAAGGGAATCAGAATTATCGAGCAATTCGAACACATCTTCCGAGTACCGATTAATATTAGATTGATAGCGAGCAAAAAGATTTCGAGCGGAAAGCGGAACCAACGCGGCAAAGTAGTCAGGAGAGTCTGATATATAAAAAAATATTATAAATAAATAAAAAAAAAATTATATTATATATGAAGACAAGAAATAAAAAAATTTAAAGATAACATAAATAAGTTTTTAGATAGATATATTTTAGATAAATTGGTAAAAAAGGAAAAGAGAAATTAGAATAAATAAAAAAATATAAGTAAAAAAAATTAAAGAATTAATATAGAAAAGTTTGAATTTCAATTTGGATATAAATTAAAATATATATGAAAAAGAAATAAATATAAAAATATAAAAATAGAAAAAATTTTCAATTTTTAAAAAAGAATAATATATTTTTAATTTATTAAAAAAGCTAAAGAAAAAGGTGTAATAAAAATAAATATAAATAAAGATATAAATTTTTAATGTAATTAATAGATATTTATTATATTTTATACAAATTCAAAAAAAAAATTAAAAAGAAATAATAGTAATAAATAAGTAAAGTAAAAAAATTAATTTTAAATACGAAAACAAGAAAAAAAATAATATGTAAAAAGTTTTATTATCAATAAAAACATATATAAACAGATTTATAAAAAAGACTTAAATAATAATTTTTAAAAAAAAATCTATAAAAATATAATTAATGTAAAATAAATAAAAAGAAAACAAGGAAATGATAAATAAAAAATATATAAAAGTTTTAATATATACTAAAAATATATATTAAGTTACAGAAGAAATATACAATAAAAAAAAATATTAAATATTTATAAACTAATAATATAAAATAAATTAAGAATTAATAATAATCAGTAAAAATGCCTTAAATAATAATAAATATATAATAAAATTGTTTTATAAAATATTATAAAGGATCTTAAAAATATATTTTCAATAAGAAAAAATAAATAATCAGAAGGATATAACCTTTTATTTGTAAGAGATACCTCTTTTACTGAAATAAAAAAATTTTTTAGTAATAAAAAATAAGGAAAATGTACCAATAAATAAATAAAAATTAATATTAAAGTTAATAATAATAAATTATATAAATAATTAAATATTTATACCAAAAAAAATTATATTAAAATTAAGAAAAAATTAAATATTCACAAAAGTATAAATAAAATAAAATAAAATAAATTCTTAAATGTTTCAATAATTTTTATAATAAATATTATTAAATAAATATTTAATAATAAGTAATAAAATTAAAAAAATTATTATATTTATTTATATGACTTTATAAATAAATTAAGTATTAATAATAACTTGATAACCACAAAAAGAAAAGAATGGAAACATTCTAACCTTAAGGATAATAAACTATTCATTAATAGAAAAGTTGTTTATTTAAAAACTAATAATACATCATTAATAAAATAATAATATTGAAAGTAGAGCAAGAATAAAGGTATATAATATATATTAAAAAAAATAAAAAATGTTAAAAAATACATAAAGTTTAAAAATATGTAAAATAAAAAAAATTAATATATTAAAAAAAAAGATTATATAACAAAAAAAATGAAATAAATTTTAAAAAATTATATAAATTACTAAAGAAAAAAGTAACTGCAAAATTATTGATGGATTATATATAATATAGCAATGAATGATGTATAGGATTACAATATTGTTTGAAAAAATAAAAAAATATTTAAAAGATTAATAAACAATGGACATATAGAATTACAATACTTATTGGAAGTATTAAAAAAATATATTAAAAAGATTAATAAAGTTTAATATATAAAAAAATAACTTTTTTAAAATTATATAATAATGAAATATAAGGAAAAATTAATAAAAATATTAAATTCAAAAAATAAATAAATTTAAAAAATTTTATAATTTTTTATATAAAAAATGATTATTATAAAAACCAATATAAAATCATCGCAAAATAAAGTATGATATATAATAATTATGGCAATAAAAAGATATAGAATTACAATATTTATTCAAAAAAAAATATTAAGTATTAAAACAATTATAAAAGTTTAAAGATATATAAAAGGAAAGGATATATATCATAAAAAATATTAAATAATATAATGAAAGTACGAAATACATAATGAATAAAGAAAAAATATATATAATTTATTATATCATAAAGTTATTTATAAGAAAACAAGTAAAAGAGATAATATAAAATTATACAAAAACTAATATATATATATAAAGTAATAAAAAATATAATAAGTAAAAATTGTATAAAAATCTATAATTAAATGATTTTTAATTAGTAAAAGTATACTTACAGTTACTAATGAAATAAAAAATTATAATAAATAGTAAAGTTATACAATATTCAATAATATAATAATAATAAAGTTGAACAACTTCTAGAATAATGAAAAAGTATAACAATACTTACTAACTATATTCTTTACAACATTTGACAAGTAAGAAATAAAAACATAAAAAAATTTATTAAAAGTAAACGATAATTAACAAGTTAAATAAAATATTATATTAACCAAAATATAAAAACTAAAATAAAAATAAAATAAAAGTTTTATAATCTTAAAAAAATATATCAAAGTATATAAAACTTATTTACAATAATCCTAAATAAATTATAAAGTAGAAAATTAATCCTAAAAAAAAAATGTACAATTTTTATTACTAATTTATATAAGAAACTTAAAATGTTTAGTAAAAAAAAATTATAAAAATATATAAAAACAATAAACAAAACATGTACCCAATAAAAAATAAATTTAAAAAAAATAAAAAGGAAAGTTTTTAAAAAGAAAAAGTTTATAGTATAAATAGTATAAAAAAATTTATCAAAAGTAAGCTGCTTATAACAAAAATATGACACTAATAAGGAACAAAAAAACGAGAACTATAAACCAAATGAAAAATTTTAAAACGCACCAATATAATTGTTAAAACGATAAATATACCGGATTCGATAGTTACGGGAAGTGGATTTACCATACTTCTTGCAGGCGGGACATCCGCCAATTCCAGTTTTGGTACGTGATCGTTATATATCCTGTTATTCTCAGAAACTAATAATATTAATAATAATAATAATAATAATAATAATAATAATAATAATAATAATAATAATAATAATAATAATAATAATAATAATAATGCTATTTTTAAAGACAAACGGTTACCACCAATTAACTAAAAGTTTAACCCAAAAAGCCAATGAAAAGGTTAATAAAACAAATAGTTTATATTCTTTTACGTTTGATACGTCAGTGTTCAAGTTATATATAAACCTGAGTGTTCCAAATGTTGGACAAGTTGTTGTGAAAATTTCTGAATATTTAAGCCTGAACCAAAAATATTAATAAAAAATCCGGCCTATAATTTTTTGTATTTAAATAAAAATCAAAAACCGCAAAGCTTTGCAGGTTTCACTGATTCCTTTATTGCAACCTCAGCGACTTTTAAATAAGCAATTGCTAATATTATGGTTATTATTAAATATTATTATAAATATTATTGTTATAACTACAATTTTTACCTTTACCGTATTGTATCTCATCCTGCAACTTCAGAGCCGTAAAATAATAAGCTACTGATTTGTAGAAGAGCGACTTTGTTTTAAAATAATCAGGCCATTTCTATTGTGTAGTTGTAACAATTGTATACTATATTATTACTATTACTCTTATTAATATTAATATTAATATTATAAGTAATCACTATATATAAAAACTTTGGGCAAAAAACTCTTCAGTGAAACTGTTTCTGTCTCAGATAAAATTTTTGTATAATATAGGGATGCTTGCATCGATAGTTTAGTTAATATATTAATATTCATATTTCCTTACAATATAATAAAAATAAGAATTATTAATAAATAAAAATAATGAGCAACCTTCAATAGCCTTAAGGAAAAATGACTCCTGCGCTTGCGCAAGGCATAAGGAACTAAGTAAGGTTAGGGTTTCAGTTTTGACATCCACGCAATGCAAGGGCGCCTTTGAGGCTTTTGGTAAAAGTGAATCCCTCGCAAAACTAAAAGCCCCAGCAGCTTTCTACAAATAAAAAATGATTAAAATAATAATAATAATAATAATAATAATAACTTGATAATAAGAAAATGAGCCTTTCAAGCCATCTCCGTGAAGAGGAAAGGAAGAGCCAATCAGAGAGTGATACGCGCCATAATTATACATCAGCCCCAATAGTTCGAAATACACATCATTTTTAGCGGCTGATAAAAAGTTAGTACCACTTTTATCATTTTTATTTTTATAAAAAATTTATTAAATGGAAACATTTTTAAATATATTTTAGTGCGATGCATACAATAATAAAAATAACAATAATAATAATACTTTGTAATTTTGAGGTAAAAGCATCTTTCCACGAAAAAGATATTGAAATTTGAACTTCATCGTCAAAAGGAAATTTTGATGCTATTTTTTCAAGTTGAGAATAATAACTGCATAAAAAAATGAACAAAAGTTCATATATTTTGGTATAAAAAATCTAATAATAAACATAAAATGTAATATAGTTAAAAATAATACAACACTTTATAAGTAATTATTAAGTTCTAATAATAAAAATAGTTTTAAATATAATAACTTTTTTTAGCGAAAAAAAGATTATAAAATTTAACGTTTGTAAGCGCACAAGAAATATGATACCAAACATTGCTTCTTTTTAAAATTTTTAAATAGATTTTATAATAACTTAAAAGCAAAACTAACAAAGAAATTTTTTTAATAAAAAACTTTTTTTAAAGCAAGATTCTTTTAATCTTAATATTGAATAAAGAAAGCTAGTTTCTTTTCGCAGTGTAAAAGTAACAATTTACAGTTACGAAAAGGGGCTTAAGCTACCTTAAAAATAATATAATAAACTTTAAAAGAATTAATAATCAATCAAAAAGATCGCTAGAGTTGTCTATAAATATATACTTCACAAAAAAATAAGGTGAAAAAAAAAAAAGAAAAATGCCTATTTAGATTATTAAGTTGTAAATGGTGTTTAGCAAAATCATAAAATAAACTCTACCACAATTTTCTCAAAATAAATTAAGTAAAATTATATTAATATAAAAATATCTAATAAAATTGTTTAGAATATATTTTTTATATAAATGGGGTTAGCGAGAAGACCATTTTACCGCCTGGAGCATAGACTCAGGAGTTCCCTCTTCAAGAGTTCGAGTTTTCATCTGATTTAAACGTATAATACTTTCTTCAAAAGCCTACAAAATAAATTTTAACCTTATATTAAAAAAATGTTTTATAGAATGCTAATAGGCCTACGCATTCCGGAAGATCATAATTTAAGCTTAAAAACTTATAGAGGGAGACGGAGTAATTCACTTGTAAACTAGATTTAAGGGGCAGTGATAAATATTCTCCGAGTTGAAAATTTTCTCTTAAGAATTTTCGATCGCTCATATCTAATTTAACGAAACTTCACTTATTTTAGGTAATCAGGTTTGAGTAAACGTGTTACTTGCTAGGCTTCTCTCGATACTTTATAAATGGTATCCTGCCCTCCATAAGGCGGACGTCCATTTCTGCCGTGAAGGTTTACTAAACATTAACCTACACTGTCGTTCAAAATTATTTCCGTTTCAATTTTTTCGTAAAAATTCTATAACGCTTTAATTAATAATTTGTTATATTAGTCCCTTATATATATATATAAGCTTGGACTGAGATCTATTAATTGTAGTTTGTATTAGAGGAATTGCTTTCTTACTTGTCTTTACCGCTATTCAAAGTTTAAGTATCGACATCTGAAACAACTTTGCACGTGATCCCCCTTCATGCAAAATTGTTTCAATCTTTATACGAAATTTTCATGATAACTCCGTAGAAGGGGGTTTTTTAAACCGTTTAAGTGACTCTAAAGGATAGCTTATTTAGAAACTTTAATTTTATAATAAGTAAACTATCAATCGAAATAAAATGCTGTAAAATGTCTTTTAGATCAAGGCAAGCCTTATAGTGAGATCGGTCGTGAATGGGGCCTTAGAAAAACCGCAATATCCCGGTCGAAGTTCAATAGGCTCCAAATCGTCCTTGCAATGAACCTGGGCGTTTAAAGATCTTGAAAAAACTGGGATGTAGCTCGACTTGTACGACAAGTGACATGGGTGCAATTGAATTATAGAAACAACTTTAGATAAACTAGTTTCACCATCGACCGTATCGAGAGCATTGCGCTCTGCTGGTCTCCATGGGAAAAAAATGTTAATTAAAACTACTTTGAAAAACTGTCACAAGCGATTAAGATTGAGTTTGCGAAGAAGTACGAAAACTGGTCCATTTCTGACTGGAAAAAAAGTAATATTTTCAGACGAGACCAAAATCAATCTATATGGTTTAGAATGGTATTAGGTGGTTTCGGAAGAGATCCAGCAATCGAAAACTTGGTCACCAGGGGGCGCAAACGTATAAACATTGGGGGAGGATTGATTATGGTTTGGACCTGTATAACGTCTAAGGGGTTCGGATACTTGGAAAAAGTGACAGGGGGCATCACCTCAAGTACGTATTTTGACATTATTAAGATTAACATACCCAGAAAATGCGATTGGTAGGGCCTTGGTCTTCGGCGATCATGACTCCAATTACAGTCGTCCCCAAGTGCTAAACTTGCCTCCGCGATCTCCTGATGTCAATCCCTTTGAGCATGCATGGGGAATCTCGAAGTGAAAATTGGGAATAATACGAAATTAAGCTCCGGCTAATTTGGACGAGCTATCAGTATAAAAAATATAATAGAGCATCAATGCTACAATCTGATTGCCAGTATTTCAAAGAGGATACAGGCAGTGACTCTGGCAAAAGGGAGCTATACTAATTATTAAACCTAGTTTGCTAAATTAAGTTTTTTCTACGTGCAAAATTGTTTCTATAATCTTTCAACTTTACAAGCTCATATCTTTTCGAATATCAAACCAATTAAAGATTAAGTATTAACAAAATGTAGCTGGAACATAAAAGTTTACTGTGTATAAATTTTAAAATAAGCCAGTACGTTATTGAAAAGTTTTTCTATAGTAAATGAAAAAAAATGCAAAAGATTGAAACAATTTTGTGCACGATAGTGTATATATGATATATACATAAATTGATGAGATAACTTGCGGAAACTGAATACTGACTTCGCCAAGTAATCTTAATTATTAGCCAAACTAAGAAGTTTGTGCTCTATTTACCGAGCTTCTGCAGAACGATACCATTGCCTGCTCTGAAAGCGCACTGACCTTTACTCACACTGTCTGACTAACTAAATGCATTAAGATGTTAACTAAACTAGCGCTAAACTGGTGGCGTATTTTAAAGCTGAGAGTTGGCAGGCGCCAGCGACCGCCCCTTATTTTAGAAGTTTGTCGTATACCGCTCCTTCGCGGAGGTAATATAGTGTCGCTTTTCACTAGTCTTCTCGCTGCATTGCGTTACCTGCTCTCTCAATTGTCAATGATACACTTCTCAATAACTGCAACCAACGAGCCACTTGAGCTTGTTATCGCAGATGAGGCTCAAGGGATTTTGGAAACGCTATTTAAGGAAAGGCGCTTAACCCTAACGGCCTTACTAAAATGATACTTTATATGTTCTTAGCAACGATGCATTATCTTTACTTCTTAGTTAATTTAGCGAGGTCCTTGACGCCTTTCCAACATGATTAAAAAAAGTCACGTTGTGATGCTACCGAGAAGACAGAACCAGAGTTTGCAAATAGGCAATAACTACTCGTTAGCCTCTTGTCGGTAAAGTGAGCTAATGCTGCTCTTCTGCCCGTTTTAAGGTGGTCATCTAAGCCTATGAAGCTTTAATAGAGTTCCACTTTGAGTTTCGGCAAACACACTCAATCGCACTTAATGATCCAGCAGCACCTCCACCTAACTGAATGGTCTATGAAGGCAGTCAGGCGCTGTCTCCCTTAAATTGAGAAGGCCTTCGATCAAGTTGGCATGAAGGTCTGCTATACAAAATGCGCATCTTATCCATCTTCATGGCCATTACAACGTCTTATATTAATATTTAAACTCTGACCTGCGAGAGTGCGAGTGGGTGCTGCATCGTCACCGCTGGCATCGTTTATAGCATATGAATTTCTTCGCTCTCCTTTACTGTTTACAATCTATGTGTCCGACGTGCCCTTGCCTTCCAATTCACACACTCGAGGCGCTTTCTCATCTGTTGTGGCAGGATCTGGATGAGTGTTTTGCTGCTTGCCGACTGGCGTCGTAAATGGCAAGTTGTTAAAAAGGCGTCAAAGAGCAAACTCTTAAAAACGGAAAATGCGTAACATCGTTAAAGCCCTTAACATTCTATGGCACGAAGATTATGTATCGCTCTCAAGCGAAATACTTGTATTTCATCATCGACAACAAAATTCCGTGGCAGGTGCACGAGGGCTATGTAGTGGTAAAGGTCAAGACAGCAACTGTGGTTTACCCTTTAATGAGCAGCAAGAGCAAACTTAAATTTTAATAAACGTCGATTAAGTTAATAATGACACACGCGTCCGCTCCACGGCAATGGCGTCTACATTGCCGCGTTGCGCTAAGGTTTGTGCAAAAAGAAGCTTTCCGTCAGGGC